GGGGGGGGGGGGGGCCTTCGCCTCAGGCCCACATTCCAGAGGGGCTCAGGGCAGATGTCCTGCTTTCCGTCTTCTCAAGGGGGCGGCTCGGAGAGGGAGGGGGGGTCAGAAAAGGTGGGGCAGGGCTGGTTTTTAACATGGGCAGGGAGGGAGGGAGGGAGGCCAGGCAGCTAGTTGACAGGACGTCCCTTCCTCAGATTGCCCCTTCCTCAGAGGCAGGGCCAGTTTTATGGCCTCTCCTAGCGATGACCGTCCTCCCTGCGGTCAAGCCTGGTCATCAGGTCTGGGGTGCATCCCCGGAGGAGGCCGGAGGGACAGGATTCAAGTGGCGGCAGGACCCGCTGTGGTCCAAAGGGCGTCCCCAGAGGAGATCCAGGAGGAAGAGGATCCAGGGTGCTCAGCCTCAGCGTCCTGCCCCATGACTCACAGCCCGCAAGGGGGTCTGGGGTGGGGAGGGCCAGATTCAGGCCCCTCTGATGCAAAGACGGTGCAGAATTAAACCCAGCCCTCCCTTTCTGCAAAGGGGCAGCGGGGAGACCGGGGCCCCCAGGACCCCCCCACTCCAGCTAGGGGCTGACTGAAGCCCTGGGAAAGGCAGGAGGCGGCCGCCCCGAGCACATTTTCCAGCGATGACGTGATTCACCTTCGCCCTTGTCAAAACATGGAAGTGCCCCCTCCCAGCGGGAAGACCTGGCCCCCTCCCTCCCAGCCAAGGGGGGCTTCAGCCTTTCCTGCCAAACCACAAAATCCGGAAACGCCTCGAATTGCCTCCTTGTTGACATCCAGCTCCAGAGTTGCAGCCGTTTCGCCTGGGAAGCTCCGGTGCCAACGCAGCCCCCCCCCCTCCCCACCAACCCACCCCCAGGGCTCAGTTTGGATGGTTTGGCTTTCCAGCTGCAGGGGAGACCTTCCCTTTCTCCGTGCCCCCTCCCCCTCCCTTATGGCAGGGAGGGTCTCCCCCCCCTCCCCCTTTCCCTCCTCGGGCCACCTTTGGCCTAAAAGGGGGGGGGAAAGGCTTCAGCCACGGGGGCTCCGGGCGGGAATTGAAGGCCCTTCTCCCCGTTTTTTTCTGCCCCTTTTCCACCTGCGCGGAACTGCCTGAAGCCCTGAGCCATCTCTGCAGGTTTATTCCAACCTTGGGGGACAATAATGCCCCCCCCCAAATAAAGGCCCGCAAGGAAAGGGCAGAAGCTTAATAAGGAAGGCTCCATTAGCCGAAAAGGCCTGCCCCCCCCCCCGCCCCCCCAGGGCCTTCGGCTGCGGCTGCTGAGCCCTGGGAGCCCAGTGCTGCCCTTCTATGGCAGCTGAGGAGGTGGCTGCAGGTAGGGTGATGTCATCCATTAATTGCAGGGGTTTTTTTGGGGGGGGAAGGGAGTCAGGGATGATCTCACAGGCAGCTGTTCCATAAGGCAACTTGGCTTAACCAAGCACAGGATCTGCTGGATCCGCCCTGGGGTGGCGTTTTTGCCTGTTTTGATCAAGGGGAAGGCAGGGCCAGGTGATGACGGGAAAGGAATCCGGGCTTGGCTTGGTCCACTTGGACCATCTGGAGAACATCTGTTGGGACCTTCGGTTCTCAGGTGGGCCTCAAAGGCCGGAGGGAGACCCCCCCCCGCTGCCTTCAGCAGAAGGGAGGAAGCAGGAGGTGCCCCCCACCCAACCTCTCCTGCCGTCCCAGAGGGAGGTCTGGCTTTTGCTCTCTGGGGGAGCCTGCGCGATGCCCAGGGCAGAGATTCCCAGCAGCTCCCAGCTTTTCCTGCCACATGGGCTTGAGAGTCCTCAGGCCGCGTAGTAAAACCATCTGGCCACGTGGTTGAAGCGGCCCCCTTGTCCCCCATGAGGTTCTCTTCGTGAGCCCAGTGAGGCCTGAGCCCATGAAGTTGCCGGAAGGGGCTGCCTTCTGGGTGTTTGTCCAGACAAGTGTGTTGGCACCCCAAGCTGAGGGTTTGGGGACCTTGGGCACTACCCTGTTGCTCCAGCAGAGGACGCCCCCGGCCCCAGAGTAGACGCCTAAGTGCACTTCGGTTTTCATCCAAGGAGGAAACCTTGAGTGTAGTTGCAAAGGTCTGTCTAGCCCTGGAGAA